CCTAAGAAGCCTCTAAGCTGTAATCGCTGCTAAAGGTGCTTCAACACAGTACTGAGTAAAGGGTCTGATCACTTATGTAAATGTGATACAAATGTTTTGCAAACATTTCTAAAATCCTATTTTTGCTTTGTCATTATGGGTTATTGTGTGTAGATTGATGAGGGGAAAAAACGATTTAATCAATTTTAGAATAAGGCTGTAACGTAACAAAATGTGGAAAAGGTCAAGGGGTCTGAATACTTTCCGAATGCTATGTATAAACACACAATATACACACTCTCACACAAAACCCATATACACTACATACACACTCGCATACCGACACACACACAGATATACACACATTTACACACACACACACACTTTCACACTCATAATTTGCTGCTGCTCCTCTGTTCTTTATTTTACTCTTATTATTATCTATCCTGATGCCTAGTCACTTTACCCTGCCTTCATGTACATATCTACCTCAAATACCGTATTATTATCTATCCTGATGCCTAGTCACTTTACCCTGCCTTCATGTACATATCTACCTCAAATACCTTATTATTATCTATCCTGATGCCTAGTCACTTTACCCTGCCTTCATGTACATATCTACCTCAAATACCTTATTATTATCTATCCTGATGCCTAGTCACTTTACCCTGCCTTCATGTACATATCTACCTCAAATACCTTATTATTATGTATCCTGATGCCTAGTCACTTTACCCTGCCTTCATGTACATATCTACCTCAAATACCTTATTATTATGTATCCTGATGCCTAGTCACTTTACCCTGCCTTCATGTACATATCTACCTCAAATACCTTATTATTATCTATCCTGATGCCTAGTCACTTTACCCTGCCTTTGATCTGGTACTGGTACTCCCTGTATATAGCTCCACATTGATCTGGTACTGGTACTCCCTGTATATAGCTCCACATTGATCTGGTACTGGTATTCCTGTATATAGCTCCACATTGATCTGGTACTGGTATTCCCTGTATATAGCTCCACATTGATCTGGTACTGGTATTCCCTGTATATAGCTCCACATTGATCTGGTACTGGTACTCCCTGTATATAGCTCCACATTGATCTGGTACTGGTACTCCCTGTATATAGCTCCACATTGATCTGGTACTGTTATTCCCTGTATATAGCTCCACATTGATCTGGTACTGGTATTCCCTGTATATAGCGCCACATTGACCTGGTACTGGTATTCCCTGTATATACCTGCACATTGATCTGGTACTGGTACTCCCTGTATATAGCTCCACATTGATCTGGTACTGTTATTCCCTGTATATAGCTCCACATTGATCTGGTACTGGTATTCCCTGTATATAGCGCCACATTGACCTGGTACTGGTATTCCCTGTATATAACTCCACATTGATCTGGTACTGTATTCCCTGTATATAGCTCCACATTGATCTGGTACTGGTATTCCCTGTATATAACTCCACATTGATCTGGTACTGGTACTCCCTGTATATAGCTCAACATTGATCTGGTACTGGTACTCCCTGTATATACTGTAGCGCCATTCTTGTATATTTTATTCCTATTGTGTTACTATTTTAAACTCTGCATCGTTGGGAAGGGCTCATAAGCAAGTATTTCACGGTAAGTCTACACTTTTTGTATTCGGTGCATGTGACAAATAACATTTGATTTTATTGTATTGATTTTATTTAGCCTCTGTGTAAAAGCAGGTGACAGGTTTGAAACACCAGTCCAACAGCCCCCTCTGGTGGCAGCTCTCACCTAGGAAAGTATGTGTTTTATAATAATAAAGTGGGTGCTTATATGTGTCCTACTTCACACATGTACAGGTGTGAATTGGATATGTGTTTTTTGCATATCCCAACTCTCCCTGAAATACCCTCGGAGAGTGGGGTCAAGGCCAGGGTCTACCATGGAGCAATTAGGGTTAAGTGTTCTGTCCTGTCCTCCTGAGTGGCGCAGTGGTCTAAGGCACTGCATCGCAGTGCTAACTGTGCCACTAGAGATCCTGGTTCGAATCCAGGCTCTGTCGCAGCTGGCCGCGACCGGGAGACTCATGGGCGGCACACAATTGGCCCAGCGTTGTCCAGGGTAGGGGAGGGAATGGCCGGCAGGGATGTAGCTCAGTTGATAGAGCATGGCGTTTGTAATGCCAGGGTTGTGGGTTTGATTCCCACGGGGGGCCAGTATAAAAAAAATATGTATTCACTAACTGTAAGTCGCTCTGGATAAGAGCGTCTGCTAAATGACTAAAATGTAAAGTGATTTGCTCAAGGGCACATCGACAGATTTTTCGGCTCGGGGATTCGAACAAGCAACCTTTTGGTTACTGGCACAACACTCTTACCGCTAGGTTACCTGCCACTGTGTCTGTGTGTGTATGTGTGTGTGTTCCTCTCTCCTCCTCCTTCTCATGCAGTCTCCCACAGTGACCTTCAATCAGTGTCTCCGTGGTAACAGGTCCTCAGTGTTAACCAGGAAGTAGACGAGTGCTGATGCGTCATTCTGATTGTCACCTTGGAGTGCCACACTAAAGGCGTCCAGATATGTATGTTAAGTCTGCTTCAACATACGTATGTTCAGGTCAATATTATCATTGTTTGTCCCTCTTGAGCTACCGTAGCAGCAATATACCAAGGAACACTTCCACAAAATAGGCCGAATTAATCGAAGATAATCAATAAATCTGTAATACATTTTGAGGGTTTTGCCGAGGAGATCTTAGTCGCGCAATTTTACATCTATCTAAGATGTTTGGTGCAGTAATTCTCAAGTGAAAAAATGTAAATGAAAACTAGTCCTCTCTCGTTGAATGACAACAAACACTTCAGTGAAGAATCTCGTCCATAGTTCCCACTCCTACTAGGAGTAGTACTGTTGACCAATCACAGACGAAGGGGCGTAGACTTCGGCTACCGAACTTAGACTTGCCTATAAAAAGATGGTGTGTGCACGAACTGCGGTAAAAAAAATCCCTGCAGAAGACCGAAACGAACCAAAACGTCACAAAATATGCACAATCTGTTTTGACTTGGAAGCATACGGTAAGTTTCACATGCAGACACCTCCTCTCTTTCTCTTTCGCACATATACACAAGCATGGAAACTGAGCACACAGACACACATTCAATATGAAGCCTCAGAACAGAGACACATTGATTGCACACAGACACACACCTATACAAACACAGGGGCATACAGAAGCCCCAGACACACACATGTACAGACACACACATGTACAGACACACACATGTACACTCACTCAATTGGAGTAACTTTGGGCCATCTCTACCCATAATTATCTGTGAAGAGCCGCTATCTGAACTATTCTCTCTCTCTCTCTCTCTCTATCATCTCTCTCACTCTCTCTATCATCTCTCTCTCTATCATCGCTCTCTTTCTCTCTATCATCTCTCTCTCTATCATCTCTCTCTCTCTCACTCTCTCTCTCCCACTCTCTCTATCATCTCTCTCTCTCTCTATCATCTCTCTCTCTCTCCCACTCTCTCTATCATCTCTCTCTCTCTCTATCATCTCTCTCTCTCTCTCTCTCTCTCTCTCTTTCACACACACGCACACAAATGGTGCTACTGCCACAGAGGAGGAGGCTGGGCTAATGCAATGTCACTTCAAAGCTCAAATAAGCAAGACACACACACACACGTGTGCACACATTTTTTATATACAGTATATTCACTTTTTTTAAATTAAATGCAAGTGCTGATTTACACATTGTGTCCATAGATGTGCCTACACAACTACCCTACTCTTTAGTCCAATTGTTAAGATTTTTCCACCAAGACTGCAATATAATACTATCCAACTAATGCATCCTATTGTCATTAGAACATCTGCTGATTCTCAAGAAGTGTGGAGGTTGTTAGCCCAAGTAGCAGAGGGTGGTGGTTGTTAGCCCAAGTAGCAGAGTGTGGTGGTTGTTAGCCCAAGTAGCAGAGTGTGGTGGTTGTTAGCCCAAGTAGCAGAAGTGTGGTGGTTGTTAGCCCAAGTAGCAGAGTGTGGTGGTTGTTAGCCCAAGTAGCAGAGTGTGGTGGTTGTTAGCCCAAGTAGCAGAGTGTGGTGGTTGTTAGCCCAAGTAGCAGAGTGGGGTGGTTGTTAGCCCAAGTAGCAGAGTGTGGTGGTTGTTAGCCCAAGTAGCAGAGTGGGGTGGTTGTTAGCCCAAGTAGCAGAGTGTGGTGGTTGTTATCCCAAGTAGCAGAGGGTGGTGGTTGTTAGCCCAAGTAGAAGAGTGTGGTGGTTGTTAGCCCAAGTAGCAGAGTGTGGTGGTTGTTAGCCCAAGTAGCAGAAGTGTGGTGGTTGTTAGCCCAAGTAGCAGAGTGTGGTGGTTGTTAGCCCAAGTAGCAGAGTGGGGTGGTTGTTAGCCCAAGTAGCAGAGTGTGGTGGTTGTTAGCCCAAGTAGCAGAGTGGGGTGGTTGTTAGCCCAAGTAGCAGAGTGTGGTGGTTGTTAGCCCAAGTAGCAGAGTGTGGTGGTTGTTAGCCCAAGTAGCAGAGTGGGGTGGTTGTTAGCCCAAGTAGCAGAGTGAGGGGTGTAAGTGCTACAGACTGGGCGTCATTCATAGCATTGGCCACGTTCATAGCCCTGTTTCTGTTGCAGAGACTTCCCTCACAGCAGGACACAGAGCTGGAGTCAGAACCGGAGTCAGAACCGGAGTCAGAACCGGAGTCAGAACCGGAGTCAGAACCGGAGTCAAAACCAGAACCACACAGATTCCTGGAGACACAGCCTCGAAGAATCACAGACCGACCATTACTAGCTGTCACTACGGAGAAAATATTTCAACATTAAAAATATTATCAAAAATAATACAATATGAATAAAATGTAGAGATAATTCATACAAACTTAAGATTGATTATAATTATAATTATATTAATAACAATTACAAGGACTATAGTGAAGCACGAACACAGGCAAACACAAATGTTGTGCATGTACTATACCTGTGTCGTTAAAACAGCGATCTTGAACTCCCTAACAGGTCACAGCCTGATCACAAACGTAATCTTCTGGATCAGTGCAAGAGGCACACTGAAGTCCATTGTGGGGGTCATCTGAAAAAAACAACAGGACAACTCATGTAAGGATCAGACAAAAAAAATCTAATTCAACAAAGAACAAAGAAGTTCAAAGTTCAAAGTACAGAACAATATTTACCAGAAAAAGTGTCATTGTTGCAGCCAGATGAGTTGCAGCATGAAGAAGTGAATTGTTGGAAACCGATGTTCAAAATCGTTTTGGGGCTTGACTGACAAAGATTGTCATCCATGCATCCCTTCACGATCCTCTCATTGATACTTGAATCATAATCATGTTTTAATAAGTTATTACTTGATACATACCCACTTATTACAATAATTGGGCATCATAACTGACGGGGAGACGTCTGTCTGTAATAAAGAGAAGCTCTGCTTTTTTGACACCACACTCCACAAAGCAAGTCCTGCAGGCTCTAGTTTTACTTATCTTGATTATTGTCCAGTCATGTGGTCAAGTGCTGCATAGAAAGACCTAGTTAAGCTGCAGCTGGCCCAGAACAGAGTAGCATGTCTTGCTCTTCATTGTATTCAGAGGGCTAATATTAATACTAAGCATGCCAGTCTTTCTTGGCTGAGAGTTGAGGAAAGACTGACTGCGTCAATTCTTGTTTTTATAAGAAACATTAATGTGTTGGAAATTCCAAATTGTTTGCATAGTCAACTTACACACAGCACTGACACACACACTTACCCCACCAGACATGCCACCAGGGGTCTTTTCACAGTTCCCAGGTCCAGAACAAATTCAAGTAAACATACAGTATTATACAGAGCCATGAGTGCATGGAACTCCCTTCCATCTTATATAGTGCAAGTGAACAGCAAACCAGGATAAAAAAAACAAATAAAGCAACACCTCACGGCACAGCGCCTCTCCCCCATGTGACCTACTTGTTGTGTGTATGTACTGACATGTACGTGTAACTGATAGATTCACACACATACACTACATGTTAATGTTTTTAAATATATGTACATTGTAAAGTCTATTTTCTTTCTGTAATGTATTTTTTGTTATGTGCCGAACCCCAGTAAAACTAGCTGTCGCCTTGGCGTCGGCTAACGAGGATCCTAATAAATCTAATTAAACTGCAAACATAATTAATGAAAAACATTCCAGTCCCAGATTTCATTCTGAGCTGAAGCAGTGATTAACAGTACAACTCAGTTTCCAGGACAGTTTACACTGTACAGCCTCAAAAGAATGAAAAACAAGATGGCAACATGATCTGCAAATAGATATATGTTTGTTCCATTTTCCTAGACCATGAGGGTATATCATATTTACATTTCCTTCTGGGTCAGAAACATTTATTGTTAAAGTCTACTATTTCTCCCACTTAATGAGCTATAACCTTACAGCACCTTCAATAGAAAACTATCATATAAATGTCTCATACACAAGCTGAGAAATGTTGCATGACAACTGTAGCTCAGTTGGTAGAGCATGGCGCTTGCAACGCCAGGGTTGTGGGTTCGATTCCCACGGGGGGCCAGTATGAAAAATGTATGCACTCACTAACTGTAAGTCGCTCTGGATAAGAGCGTCTGCTAAATGACTAAAAATGTAAAATAAATAAAAGCTGAACAATGCCTGACAAGCATATATATATTTGGTTCTTGAAATTGTGTTGAATTGCTGGAAAACAGTGTATTCAATTGCTGGAGGACTGTGTGTTTGTGCATGAGTTTCAGTATGTGTTTTGAGTCATTGTTCAAGCATACAGTATGTTTTTTATCCTCTTCATACTATGTAAAGACATTCTAAAAGACTGGATATCTATAGTCTAAAAGACTGGACATCTATAGTCTAAAAGACTGGACATCTATAGTCTAGACTGGACATCTATAGTCTAAAAGACTGGACATCTATAGTCTAAAAGACTGGATATCTATAGTCTAGACTGGACATCTATAGTCTAAAAGACTGGACATCTATAGTCTAAAAGACTGGACATCTATAGTCGAGACTGGACATCTATAGACTAAAGGACTGGACATCTATAGTCTAAAAGACCTGACATCTATAGTCTAGACTGGACATCTATAGTCTAGACTGGACATCTATAGTCTAGACTGGACATCTATAGTCTAGACTGGACATCTATAGTCTAAAAGACTGGATAACTATAGTCTAGACTGGACATCTATAGTCTAGACTGGACATCTATAGACTAAAAGACTGGACATCTATAGTCTAGACTGGACATCTATAGTCTAAAAGACTGGACATCTATAGTCTAGACTGGACATCTATAGTCTAAAAGACTGGACATCTATAGTCTAGACTGGACATCTATAGTCTAGACTGGACATCTATAGTCTAAAAGACTGGATAGTCTAAAAGACTGGACATAATAGTCTAGACTGGACATCTATAGTCTAAAAAACTGGACATATATGGCCTTCATGACACACACAAAGTTAAATTTACACACTGATACATATATGTGGTCCTCTGTAGCTCATCTGGTAGAGCACGGCGCTTGTAACGCCAAGGTAGTGGGTTCGATCCCCGGGACCACCCATACACAAAAGAAATGTATGCACGCATGACTGTAAGTCGCTTTGGATAAAAGCGTCTGCTAAATGGCATATTATTATTATATATGCATGCATGCATACACACACACACACACACACGGTGCTACTGCCACAGAGCTGCATGAAAATTGAGATGACCTGAAATGAAGTATGGAACAGCCACAGAGAGAAAGTACACACACGCAGAACTTATACACTCTTTCTGAGCCCTGTCTCAAGTGCTTGTAAGCCTGTGTGTGTGTGTGTGTGTGTGTGTGTGTGTGTGTGTGTGTGTGTGTGTGTGTGTGTGTGTACGTGTTTAACCAGAAGTCCCCACAAGAATAGTAAACCAAGAAAAAGTTGACCAACTGGGGACATTTTGTTGGTCCCCACAAGGTCACATGCTATTTCTAGGGGGTTTAGGGTTAAGGTTAGAATTAGTATTAGGGATAGAATTAGGGTTAGGAGCTAGGGTTAGGTTTAGGGTTAAGGTTAAGTTTTTGGGTTGAGGTTAGGGTTAAGGTTAAGGTTAGGGTTAGGGTTAGGGTTAGGGTAAGGGTACAGGTTTAGGGAAAATAGGATTTTGAATTGGACTGAATTATATGTCCCCACAAGGTTAGCTGCGCAAGACTGTGTGTGTGTGTGTGTGTGTGTGTGTGACAGAGACAGGATGACTGTGTTAGAGTGCTTTATCTTGCATGAGCAGTGTGTGATCCCCTACTTAAGGGTGGCACCTTTGAGCTCTCGGTTTTCATCTTGATATTATTCTGGAATAGAGAGGATGTGGCTGGGAGGAGGCTGGGCTGATGCAATCTCACTTCAAAGCTCAAATCAGCAAGAACACACACACAGTGAAGCTCTAACTAGGGGTAATTTGCAGTGACAGGTTTCTCATTAGATGTAAAGATGTCTTAAGGGAGACTTAATGATCTCACCACCCATCGTCATCTACAGTGCCTTCAGAAAGTATTCACACCCCTTGACTTTATCCACATTTTGTTGTGTTACCGCCTGAATTTAAAATGGATTCAATTGAGATGTGTGTCTCTGGCCTACACACAATACCCCATAATGTCGAAGTGGAATTATGTTTTTTTCTAAATTAATTTAAAATGAAAAGCTTAGTCAATAAGTAGTCAACCCCGTTGTTATGGCAAGCCTAAAATGAGCTTAACAAGTCGCATAATAACTTCCATGGACTCTGTGTGCAATAATAGTGTTTAACATGATTTCTGAATGACTACCTCATCTCTGTACCCCACACATACAATTATCACTAAGGTCCCTCAGTCAAGCAGTGAATTTAAAACACAGATTCAACCACAAAGACCAGGGAGGTTGTCCAATGCCTCGCAAAGAATGGCACCTGTTGGTGAAAAAAAAAAAAGCAGACATTGAATCTCCTTTGAGCATGGTGAAGTTATTAATTACACTTTGGATGGTGTATGAATACACCCAGTCCCTACAAAGATACAGGCATCCTTCCTAACTCAGTTGCCGGAGAGGAAAGAAACCGCTCAAGGATTTCACCATGAGGCCAATGGTGACTTTAAAACAATTACAGAGTTGAATGGCGGTGACAGGAGAAAACTGAGGATGGATCAACAACCTTGTAGTTTCAAATCAAATCAAATGTTATTTGCCACATGCGCCGAACACAACAGGTGTAGACATTACAGTGAAATGCTTACTTACAAGCCCTTAACCAACAATGCAGTTTTTTTTTTTAAGTAAAAGAAAAAAGTGTTAGGTAAAAAAAAATTGCGAATAATTAAAGAGCAGCAGTAAAATAAAATAACAGTAGGGAGGCTATATATACAGGGGGGTACCGGTACAGAGTCAATGTGCGGGGGCACCGGCTAGTCGAGGTAATTGAGGTAATATGTACATGTGGGTAGAGTTAAAGTGACTATGCATAAATAATAAACAGAGTAGCAGCAGCGTAAAAGAGGGGGATGGGGTGGGGGGGGGGGCAGTGCAAATAGTCTGGGTAGCCATGATTAGCTGTTCAGGAGTCTTATGGCTTGGGGGTAGAAGCTGTTGAGAAGCCTTTTGGACCTAGACTTGGCGCTCCGGTACCGCTTGCCGTGCGGTAGCAGAGAGAACAGTCTATGACTAGGGTGGCTGGAGTCTTTGACAATTTTGAGGGCCTTCCGCTGACACCGCCTGGTTTAGAGGTCCTGGATGGCAGGAAGCTTGGCCCCAGTGGTGTACTGAGCCGTACGCACTACCCTCTGTAGTGCCTTGCGGTCGGAGGCCGAGCAGTTGCCATACCAGGCGGTGATGCAACCAGTCAGGATGCTCTCGATGGTGCAGCTGTATAACTTTTTGAGGATCTGAGGACCCATGCCAAATCTTTTCAGTCTCCTGAAGGGGAATAGGCTTTGTCGTGCCCTCTTCACGACTGTCTTGGTGTGTTTGGACCATGATAGTTTGTTGGTGATGTGGACACCAAGGAACTTGAAGCTCTCAACCTGTTCCACTACAGCCCCATTGATGAGAATGGGGGCGTGCTCAGTCCTCTTTTTTTTCCTGTAGTCCACAATCATCGCCTTTGTCTTGATCACGTTGAGGGAGAGGTTGTTATCCTGGCACGACACGGCCAGGTCGCCGACCTCCTCCCTATAGGCTGTCTCATCATTATCGGTGATCAGGCCTACCACTGTTGTGTCGTCGGCAAACGTAATGATGGTGTTGGAGTCGTGCC